TATATATAATATATAATATATGTATATATATATATACGTATGTATATATAATATAATAATAAAAATGTACATCAATTCTATCTGCGTTTTTTCTGGCAGCAACCAGCACCGGACAAAAACATGACAAAAGAATGTATATATATATATATATATGTATGTATGTATGTATACACGTACATGTATCGGTTCTTAGTCACAATATAACCATTAAACTCTAGGAAAAGAAAACAGTTTCTGAACGAAAAATGATGAAAAAACATGGGATCAACCAGCATTGAGTCAACATAATAACGAAACAAAATACATGGAAAAGCAAATGAATATATATATATACACGTATATGTGTATATATATATACATATATATGTTCACACCTTATTTCTCCATGCTCTGGTACATGTTCATCAATCTTTCTCGGTGTTTTCCTTCAGTTCGTCACGAGATTTCATCAGTTTTCCTCACCTATTTGATCATTTTATATCAAAGGGTTTGACCAGTTTCCCAAACCTATTTGATCAGTTTATAAAAAAAAAAACGCTATTTTTCCCAGCTATTTTTTTCATGTGACTTCATCAGTTTCAAAAATAGGGAACCTATAGGAGAGGTTGGTTGCTGTGAATCACGGATGGCAGAGCGAATCCACTGTGGACCAACAGGTGGTTGGAGCTGTGTTTTTTGGAATGGCTGCAATGGTTGCAGTGGTCGCCTTACCACAACTGCTGGATGTAGTGTGGTGTAGTGGTTGTAGTTGTAGTTGCAGTTGTAGCTGTAGTTGTAGTGTAGCGTGGTGTTGTGGAGCTGTAGCTGTAATGCAGTGTAATTAGTGTATTTGCAAGTGCAGTTGCAGTTGTAGCCGTGGTGTGGTGTAATTAGTGTAGTGTAGTGCAGCGTAATGTCGTGTAGTTGTGTAGTGTAGTGTGGTATAATGTACTGTAGCCTAGTGTAAGGTAATGTAGCTGTAGTTGTGATGTAGTGCAGTGAAATTAGTGTAGCGTAGTGTAGTGTAGTGTCGTGTAGTGTGGTGTAGTGTAGTGTAGGTGTAGTGTAGCGTGGTGTAGTGTAATGTCATGTAGTGGTAGTTGTAGTTGTAGTTGTAGTTGTGTCTTTCTATTCTATCTACCTATCTACCTATCTACCTACCTACCTATCTATCTCTCTCTCTCTCTCTGTGTCTGCCTGTCTATCTATCTGTCTATCTGCAAGCTTGAAAACGAAGCTATTCTGCGAGACTACCTCAGTTTTTGAACTTGACAACATCAAAAACGCAGCAATTCAGCGAGACTTCCTCTATTTTTGAATTTGACAACATCAAAAGCGAAGCAATTTTGCGAGACGTCCTTCAAAAATGGATATTTGAGTGGTCCACATCTGATGTTGCCTTTCTGGAATTTTCTGGATGGCCTCCGCAACTGGCATAACTGAGACTAAAATCTGATGCGAGTTGGTGCCAAATCAAGATTAAAGGTGGGGCGGTTCCAACCTTTCAAAACCCTAGCAGACTCTAGCACCTAACTAAAAGGCCACACCAAAACATCTGGGACAAGCTTTTGACTCGTTGAAAGTCAGAAATGGATCCCATGTTCATTCGCACACGTTTCACACGCCACGGTTGGTGACCATAATGCCGCCACCTTCCAGCTCCCTTACGCATTGCCCTGGAATCGTCGGAGCCACGTGGAGATGAACGGAAGTTGACGTAAAATTGTGATTGGAAAATATTGAGGGAAGATAAAAGTGATAAAAGTGATTAGCTTCACTGATTGCTGCGATTGCTGCGGGTTTTTTCGCGCCATAGTCCAGCGATGTCCAGCATCCCAGCGCCATGGAAAATGTTGGGATCGCTGGGATCCGATGGGATCCGGGAGGCCGGGAGGCCGGGAGGCCGGCCTCGCCGGGAGGCCATGGCATGCCGTGGCCTCGCCGACACGGCCTCGGCCGACCTCGGCCTCGACTGTGAGAGATCGGCCCGCTCTGCACAAATCGTCACAAAATATGCAAAATCGTAAAATTATTTCAAAATGTTAACAAAGTGAACAAAGAGTGAATCATAAGACGTATCATAAGACATCAGACATATCTCGACATAAAACTGGTGTCAAACATTGTAAAACCCTGGCATTTAACATTTTTGGAATGTTGGTCCCCAATCTCCTGGCTTTGCAGTAAACTCTTCTGCGCGTCGCTTTGATACTGTGAGGCAAGCAGGTTGCCAGAATCAAAAGCAGCCAAATCATGTATGCTCTGAATACGATGGACCATGCTTGCATAATCTTAAAAAATCTTACATATGTTTACCCTGTTTGGATTCTGAAGGTTTCTACTTGTGATCTTCCAAGATCTTCAGCATTTTATCACTTTCAAGCAAAAAAAAGAAGGTCCGAGAAGTTCCTGGTGGAAGTTTCTTACAAAACCATGGTGAAATGCTCCAGCTCATCCCTTGGAGAAGTAAACCATCTGTGACCCCTCAACATACTCCGTTTCTTACAACAATCCTCAACTATCCTCAACTGTGATTGGCATCCATGATTGGCAGCTTCGACCACAAGGCTTTGATAGACATTTGACAGACATGAAGGCTGCCATGTTGTCTGAAGGCTGCCTGAAGGCTTCGAGTCACATGTTGTCATAGAAGTCCTCATGGCTGTGAGACATTACCCCATGACCCCAAAGGAATGAAGCAGCACAGAAAACAAGCACCAACAACCTTTCCAAGACGTTCCAAGACGCGGTCTCAACATGTCTCAACATGTCTTAACAAAACAGCCTTCTCCAGAAAACATCAGCCAACTCCGTTCAACTCCGTTCCGAGCCTGCAGAATCCGCACATAGCGCTCAGTCGTGTCCTGCCGTGACACTCGGTGGCACTCTTCAAAATTCGAGGCCCGGAAACTGCCCATTGACCCCATTGGTCCGCCCATAGTCCTCCACCTGCTTCCGTTCACTGCACAAGGCTTCAACTTGGCCTCGCCTGCATCTGGATGGAAGATGATTCAACATGGTTTGCGCGCCGAGCTTCGGCATGTGTCATGTCAATCTTCAATTAGCCAAGTTTTGAACAAGCGTTTATCTTGATGCCATGGTGTTGCCAAAGGTGTCATAGGGCGAGTGAGCAAGTGAGTACATCAAAAAAGCGTTCGTCATCGAGACCAAACCAAACCCAAATGTACAGATCCTATCAGATCCTCTTGTAACTCTTGCATCAGTTGTCGGTCAACATGCGTAGCTGAAAACTTGGACATGTTCTGCGAACGCATCTCCACTGGCTGGCCCCGAAAACAGCGCGTTCCCTGATACAGCTCCACCCCTACTTTCTTTTTCTAGGACTATGCGACCCCCTACTCAGTCCTACTCAATCTATCTCAATCTGATAAAATCTGATTTGTATTTGGCACTTCGTCGCCTGGCATTGGCAGTTTCGGAAATTTCCCCCGGGTTGCTGCACTGTTTCCTCTGGGTTTGACGGTCCTCTGCCGGGTAGTCTGCTGCAGAGCTTCCAGTCGGACGAGAAGAGCTTCAGCATCTGCCATGACAAGACTTGACATATCTTGACAAAACAAGACATATTTGTCACTCTTGGGGCAGTGATGTGCAGTGTTGAGTTGTCACAACCCACAATTAGCATGCACTCCGTGTGTCGCGCTCACATTTTGATGTGACAGCTTCAGGCTGTTTCAGTCTGTTTCAGTCTGTCTTTGGTTGCCATCTCTTGCTATCTCTTGCCTGTCTGATCTGGCTGGATGCCTTCGATGCCCCTCTCTGTTGCCTCCAAGGAATGCAGACTTCGCATCGGTGAAATGCATACGGAATGGTCGGAATGGTGCAAGTAAACAACAGCTGTCCCAAGCTACGGAGTCAGAGGCCATCACAAAACAAGAAAGCCTTGGAAATCACCAACTTTTTTTGGACAATTGGGAGCGTTCTGAAGGGAGCGTCACGGGATCATCAATCGGAGTCAGTCACATCCCTGTGGCCCCTGTCATCTAATAATTCCCTTTGGGACCTGGTCTTACGATGTCGTATTAAATCTGCCCTCAGACAAGATTCATCATATTCAACATTGATTTTAACATTTAACTAAATTGAAACCCCATCTGATCTCCACACATTTACGTCACAGGATTCACGAAATCACGGTGTCAGATGGTGTCAGATAGTGTCCGATGATGTCTGCAATGGCATCGCTTCGTGGCCAAGCCTGGGCTCCTGGGCAAGGGCATGATCCGACGTGATTTTTAGAGGACCAACTTTGAGAACCACCGAGAACCACCTGAATGCCCTGAAAATATTTGAAAATCCCATCACGCAATGCCTTAAAAAAAAACAAACAGCAAAACAGCAATCAGAACACAGAAAGTTTGGCCCACATGTTCCCATCATTTCCCATCTATATCGACCAAGTCGACCAAGTCATTTGCCATGGTTCCGACAAAAGAAGCCCACGCAGAAGCCCGTGATGCTCGCGTGGGCTGCACATTCGGCGATTGCAGCGACTCCCGCAGCCTAAAAGGCAAGCATGTGAAGCTCGGAACACAAACTAATCAAAAACTAATCCAAAACTAATCAAAAATATCAAACCGTTGGTTGTTTTTTTGTATTATTCTATCACTTCGTTACGACTTCGCTGGTTTTTGGATTTCGTCTGTGGCAAACCTTGAGGCACTTGGCAGCTGAAACTGCAATTCTGAACAATTGTTACACTCTCAAGTGCAATTCTGTTCCTTTTGGTTGACAACTCCTTTAGCTCTTAACCGATCTTAACCGATGACCTAAAGTGCCTCAAGTGCAATCGAATCAGAGCAACGCCAACAAGTTTGGAGTGCAGCTAGGCTACACTGAAACGTGCCTTTTTTGCTCCTGTCGGCTCGAAATGTGGGGTAACAAAAGAAATTAACGCCTTGTGGAAGACTTGTTCTTCCAGTCCTTCCACAAAATTCTGCACTTTTCTGCACTGAGATTCTTTAGGGCCTACTATAGGGTTTTGCGCATACTCCGTTGACTGCAAACCAAACCCTCTAGATGGCTTCTGTGCAGCACTCTGCTCCAACATCTGCATGGACTGCAAGGCACAAGACTGCTAAGCTCCAGAAAAATTAAAAGGTGAGTTAAGGTTGATAAAAGGTTGATAAACGAGAGTGAGCTGAGAGATGGCAGGGCTCAACAGTGGCAAGACATCGCAAGGAAAATCTCATGAGATTGATGTCTAGATATGTCATGATATGTCTAGGTTGATAGAGTGTAGAGTACATCTTGCAAAGAGTCTGGTATGCACGGTATGTAGTGTTGGGCTCGACATGGGCTCGACACACGACACAAGTTACGGTAAGTAACGACACGTAACGAGGCGACACGTAACGAGGCCCCTCTGCGCCCGTCACCCGATGTCGCCTGTTGCGCTCGCAGTTGCGCCCAGGTGACTTTCTGTGGCCTGGCAGACGCAAGTGCCATGCCTGCATTGCCTGCCATCCTTTCGTCCTTTCGTTCCTTTCGTTACGACATGTTACGACATGGTTCTTTCGAAAGGGGATTTAAATGGTTAGTTTTAAGCCATGGTTAGACTGACTTAGAGTCCTTTTTAAATGTTAAGACATGCCTAGACCAAGCCACATGCCGGGAGCTCGCAACACAACGACAGCCGAACGACAATCAACTGAACTTTCCTGAACAGCTAGAACCAACTGAAGCCTCTCTGCGTGCTCTTGATGTGGCTCCCGCCAAGCAAAGCGGTGCCTGTAAGCCGAGAAAGAAATTAGATGACGATTGTACATGTATAGGCATCTTATATGTATATGTAAATATACAGTTATATAATGTTATATAGTCATATCATAAGATTCATGGATATAAAGCCGCGGTGGTTCCAAGACCTACTTATGGCGTCCTTGTTTGAAACGATGCATGTCACCGTGAACTGAAATTCTGGGCCTGGGAGTTCGAGCTGAAGGAGATGAATTCGGAGCCGAAGAATTTTGGAATTTCTCCGCCATCTCTGTTCTCTGCTCTGCTCTTTGCTCATTCTGCTCTGGCACACTTTGCACACTTTGCACACTTTGCATTCTTTGCATTCTTTGCACTTGTTGGGCTTGCTGCATTTGTTGCACTGGAGCATCTGCGACATCTCTCCTCTCTGCATGATTTTGACATCTCTGTGTTGTCAGATTTGTTCTACGTTTGTTCCCCTCAGCTGTCGACGTTGCGCGCTGATCGCGCTGATCGCGCTGTGCTTCTAGCGCCGCCTCCGCTCGCCGCGCGGCGTCCGCGGCCGAGGCTGTGCTGCGCCAGGCGGGCGGATGAGGCGACGCAGCGGGTGGGGGCTGGAACGCTGCCGCTGCGGCCACTCGCCGTGCCTCAGAGCACCATCACTAAACTCGTCCAACCGAAGGTACCTGAGGAAACACATGGAAACCCTAGTTACACTCCAGCACTCAACTCCAGATTCTTGTCCAAACATGTCCAAACCCTCTTCTGTGCCTTTTCAGCCCCATTCATTCCACAACTTTCAATTGCATCAACTTGACCCAAAACCCAAGAAAAGACTTACATGTCATCCCTCTATCCACCGCTGACTCACTGCATCATGGGACAGCATCCTCAAAGAAAACGGTTGAAGGCACTTCGCCAGCTTTAATGCACCAACTTTTCCAAGTGAGTAAAAGAGAGGCACACAGCTTTGATGCCAAGGAACTTCATTCACTCTGCTGTCCGTCTCTTGCGACTCCTGTGTCTGCCTCTCTGGCACTCTCCAATCCGGAGGCCGAAAATAGCTGCTCGTTTGAATGTCTTCTAATTCCTCCAGGTCAGTGATGTCAATCCCCTCTGCCCAATTGCTCAAAGGACCTGGGCAGTTCATGCTCGCCTTCAATCGATGCGCGATGTCTGCACGAGAGCATCGTTTTCGAAGACCCAGGACGCGCAAGAAGAGGAACTCGGCATCAGGGACGCCTAGGACACCCTCATACAAGGGCCGCAAACTGAGATTCGCCGCCTTTGACTCTGCGAGTTCATCTTCCACATCCCACCAAGCCTCTTTCGCAAACAAGCGCTTGGGCCGCTTTGCTCGCTGTGAACTGCTTGTCCTGCTGTTACTGCTGTTCGGGTTGCTTGGGTTGCTTGAGTTGCTTGGTGAGTCTTGACCCGGCAGCAAGAGCAAACGCTCTTGGACAAAGGCACGGCGCACATCAGCATGCCATGTCATGGAGGATTTGCGGCAAGCCTGCGCCAAAGTGAGAACACAAAGCAGAGTTTTGGCAATGCAATTGTTTCACCATGCCATGAAGCTTTGCGTCTCTGAACAGAAGCGATCTTATTTTCCCGCGTTCCACCTACAGAATTAAAGCAACCAAATGTTTGGAACCCACCATGTTTGTTTGGCCTCAATCATTTCAGGGCCCCCCAAACGGTCAGCAAGATCTTGCAGCAAGAATGTCAAGCACCGGATTGCTCGCTGGCAACATCCCATTGACTGCGAATTGACTGTTGCCTCTTGAAAGTAAAAATACCACAAATTAAGGTCTGAATGCTGCTGATTGCATGCACCTGGAAGCATATCAAAAAATACGATATGAAAAAAACAAATTCAAACTGAAACTTGAAAAATCGTCCGAATCCACTGCTGGCACCTGCGCCAAAGCACCATAGATCTGAGCTGCCAAATCTTTCATGGAATCTAACCTGGAACCGGCATGCAGGATCAGATAAACCAACGTCACCAGTCACTAGTCATTGGATGTCATTGGTATGATCGGCATGTCACATGCCATGCTTTCAATTCAACACGTCATGACAATACCTCAGAACGATGTAACGAAAGCCAGGTCCAACTCGGGCAATGCGAAGTGGGAAGGGAAGTCGAAAAGGAGGTGATTGGGGAGGTAGACAGAAAGGTGTTCGAAACCAGTTTTAAAAAGAAAAGTGTTCCGTTGTTGGTGTATGAGTGTGTCTGCTTTCAACAAGGCCCACGTGTGTTGATCTGTTTCAGGTGGTTTGCAACACAGCAATGAATTGCATCTTCACCTGTGGGCCAAGTATAATTTTCAACAATGTGGTGGTTTTAGGCTAGGCACTGTGTTTTTGCCTGTGCGATCCAGGTTCGTAAGCTTTACGATTTTTTTCCTCTTGAATTTACAATGCGTAGTTCTGCTGTACGCTCAGGTTTAGAGTATTTAGTTTTTGCCATTTGATCTGCCTTTACATCTATGAGCCAAATGGGTCAGAGGAGAGAAGGCCAGATGGAGAGTGCTCATGTTGATGTGCGCTGATTTCCTGAAAGCAAGGGCTGCGGCGCCACAAGGGATATGGACGTTGATTATGTTGATTTCAGTCTATTCTACTTTTGGTACTGCCCAAGCTCGCCATGGGTTTGACGCTAGCGTCCAAAACCACAAACTCTGTGATAAACTCTTCTTGTAATATATGGTATTCCGTTCGTGTGTATATGGGCCGGACCATTGATTGAATTTGCGAAAGGATTCACAATAAAACGAGCATTCAGCAAAAAACTCTTCCAACCTAGCAGGCTCACCATCAAAGCCCGTGCTTGTCATTTACCTTGTACCATCAAAGCCAGCTGAAGTAAAGGTTACATCGACCGTCGATACCCTGAAACAACGCGCAAAAGGGAGCTTTGTTTACGAGAGCCGGACCAAGGGGGAAAGAAGGCAGGCAGGTACATTGAATACATCTGGGTTCTCATCTCAATTTTTGTGTCTACATGGTCTCCAGTTTTTATCTTTTTTAAGCCTTGTTTACGACTCCAAGAGCCGGACTAGGGGGAATCGATACCCCAGGGTCGCTCAATTGCAACACGGTACATGACCCTGACAACTTGCGCATCGGCCCGCCACAAACACCTAATTTTGCGTTTTGTGGTTTCGTCCCAGACCCTTTAAGCTCACTATGTTCGCGATAACTTCAGCGTGCCGGCTGGCGTTAGGCTCGTTAGACTTTCGTAATTAAGAAACGCCCATCCACAATCCACGCTTATCAAGACCCAAAATATTTACATGAAGAACCCAATTTTTCCACACTCTGCACACTCTGCACACTGAAACTTGCATAGTCTGAACACATCTGAACACATCTGAAAACCCTATACCCATCTATACCTGCGAAGCAACAACTGACCAGCTGTTGTTGGAGTCCCAGGCAAGCTCTCCTGACGGTTTCGAGACATCGCCTTTTCCACATGCTCCACCAAGTTCTTCAAAGCTGTGATCAGACAACTTGGACGAAAGCCTGGATGCACCTCCGAGCGCGTCAAGCATCAGGCGTCAGGCTATGTTGGACTTGCCTTCTACAAAGCTAGGACTATGCCAAAGGGCCCCGCCGGGCCCTATACAGTTGACAGCATGCTGAGCCCAATTTTCCAAAAACCATGTGCCCCGGTAGACAATCACTCCCGCTAACTACACGGGGAACAATGCTCTATCTGGCAGCACTTCCAAATTCGTGCTTTGACTCGTTCCACACTTTACGACATCTTACATCATCTTACGACATCGAATTCTGATGGTGGTAAGCTGCCAACCTGATCCATCCGGATCCATCCGGGGATCCCGCCTCAGGCATCTGCAGCACTTCCAAAAAATAGCGCTGCAACGGCGGACCATATCTGTGGTAGGACACTTTCAATGATGGCACCTTGCAGCGGCTCAAAGCGGGGAAACACGGCCCAACCATGCCCACACTTTGGAGTGCCACTGAAACATTGCCCACTAGTCTTGATATGTCTTGATTAGTCATGGTTCTTCTTACGGTTTTTGGGCCCTAGGGTTTGCTATGCCTTTTGGATTTTGAGCTTGGCGATGGTTGGTGAAATTGTTTGGCGAAAATCATTTCAAACGGACTTAGTGTGAGCAAATGTGGGCCAGCGACTGTGAACCGACCAAAGCCCCCAAAGAATGATGCACTCCCACCCCAAAAAAAAATGATTTGGATCTCACTCTGTTCGTGCAAGATCACTCTGTTCGTGCAAGATTGTTCAAGTTGACGAGAAAGGGTTGCCAAACAACGTTTTGGCCGGCTACAGACATTGCTACGGACATTGCCAAGTTTCAGATCACATCTCAAAGGACCAAAAAGAGTCAAAAGACTTTGGCAAGTTTGGTATTGAGATGTATTGAGATGTATTGAGATGAATTGAGATGAAATTGTCTGAGTCATTGTGGTCCAGCTTTGCCCAACTTCGTGGCCTGTGTCAGCCATTGGATGTTGGGCTCCTCCTCCCAGGTGCATTCCTCGAGTGTCCTGATACCTTCCAGTTGCCAAAGATTGGACCAGATTGGACAACATGTCACGTGCCATCACGTGAAATTACGTGCCCACACGTCCAGCACATGGATGCACATGGTATGTGTTAATATCTTGCGGTATGCACTGTTACACCGTGCGATTCCAATGAACCCATTTATTGCGCATGTGACCATGTTATACTAACTATTACTAGTTACTAACATTTACTAACATTTACTCACTATATGTGTTTCTCTCTGCTGTCTGCTTTCTAGTTTTTCCATGTTTTTCCAGGCTCCTGCAGCAACAAAGACCAATCCGCGGAGCATCTCCTGCTCGCGGCCAATGCTCCCAATGCTCTCCGAGATCTTGAAGATCTCCGAGATCTCCTTGTAGACATCCGCAAAGACCTGCGCCAGGATCGCCAGGCAGGCCAGGCCACCAGGCCCCTTAACACATCTTAACACCATCTGACAGCCCCACACCGCTTGCAATATGTCGCCGTCGCAATGTGTCATGAATGTGTCATGAATGTGTCATGACTCAGTGGCCATTGACTCCCCTCTTTAATCAACTTTAATCCACTTCAATCCACTTTAGTCCACTTTGTCTTCTTTGTCTTCTTTTCTCTGCCTCGATGTTGGCACATTGGTTGGCCCGAAGCATTTTCAAAGCCTTTACCAAGCCATCGATGGTAAGATGCACCTCACGCACTGACATGACACTGGCAACGCTTGCCAACAAGTTTCAGCTAACATCTATATATATATAAGGTTCCGTTCCAGCTCCGTTGCAGTCACAGTCAACCGACTTGCCTCGCCTGTACGCCCAGCTGATTGAGGCACTCCTGGACTGAAACATTGCTTCCCTCTGGCAGCCGAATGTAGTGCAAGTATTGGCCACCCAAGCGATGATATACCTGCCGTGGCATGCAAAGCATACTGCACAGCATAAGCATAAAGGACTTTGAAAGTCTACTTGTCCCTGCTGCGACTTTGGGGTGCCGTTGCGATTGGATAATAATTCAAAACATCTGGCCAAACCCTGTATCCCCCTGAAGGCCCTGCTGAACGCTGAGTTGCTTCGTACAAGAAGTGATCTCTCAAACAGATCTTCCGCTGTGCACGTTCATTCCTACCTCAGGGTGTCAAAGCAGTCTGCAAACTCAAACGCGCAATTCCCCAAATGGAATTGCCGCATCGCGATCCTATTTGAACTTGCCAACGCCATGTTGACGTCGCTAACCACAGCATGGTGTCGCTTCTTGACAGCAAAAACAAAAATTCATTTGATTACAAATTGGTACAACGCATGTAATTTCGGATCCAAAATGCTGGTTTAACTTTCGATTCCATGAATAAGTGAATCTGCTACGGGATGAGCGAGGAAGCCGATAAGTAACTCAAAGAATACTCAAGAGCATTCTAAGATAACACCAGGAGTGGAGGAAAAAAACAATGAACATTCAACGGCAAAACAGTTGAGTTCGATAGGATATGCTGGTAATGCTGCCTTGATCCTGACTTGGCAAAAGATTGCATGGCGCAGTCACTGGTCCAAATATGCGTCCTAAAACAACATCATCTAAAACCCATATCGGAAGTAAAGGGACCAAAGTAATTTCCATAATATATCCAAGTTTTATTTGGAAATTAGTGCTTGGGGTCGGGTTGGGAGATAGAGCCAGATGTACCTGAGAAAAGTCACAAGCCCTGAAAATATGTTCAAGATGTTTGGATTGTTTATGTTTTTTCTTCTGTGACTTGTTCAAAAAGATTTGTCCCTGAAAAACGATTCATCTGAAATTGTGTGTTTGCGAACCTTTGCAAGTCCAACAGTGGCCCCTCAGTAATCCTGCTCAAGACCATACTCAGCACACATCGCTGATGGCAAAAATACTTTGGACTTAGAATATTTTGATACGCGCATCCCAATTCATCCCAAACTTGAATGTAGAAAATGAATGAAAATGGCCCACCAGAAACCTCAGCCCCAGGGGGCCCAAGTGGAATGCGATATTCCTTAAAGGCTACGCCATGCTACGCGCACCAAATGGCAAAGAATCCCGGAGTAGAGGGCTCAAATCCCAAAGCATTCAAAGCATGTCACAATGTCAAATATTACAATATTGTTGGACTATCGGTGACTATCTGATGCATCGGATGTGTTGTTCTAGTTCAAAGTCTCTGTCCGCTGAGTTTCACACGGACGGCCACTGGCAATGCACCCAGGTAGTTCGGCCCAAACTGCACAAGTGAAAAATGCAAACTGAACATGTTCAAGGTTGCAAACTCACGAAACCATATGAGATTTGAATAAGACTTTCAATGAAACCCGAATGCGCATCATGTTGTGTGATGGATGGTCCCACTGCTCCACATTTGCCGAACCTCCCCCGTTTGGCATCTTTTCTGCACGTAGGACATCACAGCCCCCATCTTCTCAACATCACCCCACCACTGTCGACTGCAAAGCCGTTGCCCTGACGGATGGCATAGGGCATGAGGATGCATAGGGTGGCAATGGTCACAGCAACCTTGGTCCATCCTGGTCCTACCTGCCTGTCACGGGGACACAATGCTGTCCCCGTTCAAGCCTCTGTTGTGCGATTAAACAGTTCGCATGGTATTAGCAATCCCCGCGGCAATGAAATACGCCAACCGTTTTTGGGACGTTTTTTGTGTTTTTCCATTTTTTCCAGTTTTGTTCCCTCCTGATTTTTGAGTCGGCCTCAAGGATCTGAATTTATATCCTCAAAAATCTGAACGCATCGATTTTATCGATTTTAAGTGGGGATTTGGGGTGGATATACTTAGCTTTCCCAATCCTCTTGAAAATAAATTATGTAGGTTATCTCAACCCCTTTGAAAAACCAAACTCAACAGCGGCGCCCCCTAAATAAAGTGCTTCAAGTATTAAGGCTTTCTTAAACATCTAAAGAAAAGTCAACTCTAATTCTACCTAATTGTCTCAAAAAGATATGTATGCGGCAAGGCTAGAAGGATCTAAAAGGGTCACAACATTACACCATACTCGAAGGAACTTTAGAAGTCAAACCTCCGACAATAAGGACAGATGAAGAAGCAAAGGTGGGAACAATCAGAGAAGAGAAGAGAAGAGAAGAGAAGAAGAACCAAGATCAGAGAAGAGAAGAGAAGAGAAGAAGAACCAAGATCAGAGAAGAGAAGAGTCAGAAGAAAGAAGATGTAGGTGAGCGAAAAGGTAGAAAAGTCACGAAACATTGTGTTTTTCCAATGTCTTGTGGCTCCGGAGGGTCGAAAAGCAAGCTCGCTAAAGCAGCCGGCGCTGTGGCCAGATGAGAGATGAAAAATTGCCCGCCGTTGTGGCACGAAGCACATTTCCAAGTCAAAATGCACAAAAGCACCATTCTCGGAGCACTTTTGGAAGTTGAAATGTTCAAAAAGTGCACTTCGTTGTGGCGCGAAGCACATTTCCTGGGAGGGGTTCCATTTTGGAGCATCAGATCTTCAGGTTTGCTAAGATGATTTTGCGTGACAGGTGCGGCACTTCGTGTGACCTGGCTTCACTTTTTCGTGGCAAGTGCACCACTTTAGACAGATGGAATGGAAAAAAACGCAAAACGCATTGGCACGAAGCCGTCAGCTATGCACTAACAAAGGAAAACAAGAAGGAAGACAAGCTGGGAGACAAGGCCTCGGGAAGGCGGACACACCATCCAACAAAGGCACACATATAAGGGGTGGTAAAATGGGAGACAAGGCGGGAGATAAGCTGGGAGACAAGGGGGACAAGGCCTTGGGAACTGGGAGACAATGGGAGACCAGCTGGGAGACAAGCTAGGAAACAAGCTGGCAGACAAGCTGGGAGACAAGTTGGGAGACAAGGGAGGCAAGGCCCCGGAAAGGCGTACACACCATCCAACAAAGGGCAGCAAAAAAGAAGACAAGCTGGGAGACAAGCTGGGAACCAAGATGGAAAACAAGCTGGGAGACAAGCTTCGACACAAGCTCACAGACAAGTTGGGAGACAAGCTGGGAGACAAGCTGGGAGACAAGCTGGTAGACAAGGAAGGCAAAGCTTCGGGAAGGCGGACACACCATCCACCAAAGGGCAACAAGAAGGGGCACAATGGGAGACAAAGGGAAACAAGACCCTCGCACACCATCCACCAAAGCGCAACAAGAAGGGGTACAATGGGAGACAAAGGGAAACAAGGCCTTCGCACACCATCCACCAAAGCGCAACAAAAAGGGGTACAATGGGAGACAAAGGGAACAAGACCCTCACACCATCCACCAAAGGGCAACAAGAAGGGGCACAATGGAAGACAAAGGGAGACAAGACCCTCGCACACCATCCACCAAAGGAAACAAAAAGGGGCACAATGGGAGACAAAGGGAAACAAGACCCTCGCACACCATCCACCAAAGCGACAACAAAAAGGGGCACAATGGGAGACAAAGGGAAACAAGACCCTCGCACACCATCCACCAAAGCGCAACAAAAAGGGGTACAAAAGGAAACAAAGGGAAACAAGACCCTCGCACACCATCCACCAAAGCGCAATAAAAAGTGGCACAATGGGAGACAAAGGGAAACAAGACCCTCGCACACCATCCACCAAAGAGCAACAAGAAGGGGCACAATGGAAGACAAAGGGAAACAAGACCCTCGCACACCATCCACCAAAGGGCAACAAGAAGGGGCACAATGGAAGACAAAGGGAAACAAGACCCTCGCACACCATCCACCAAAGGGCAACAAAAAGGGGTACAATGGGAGACAAAGGGAGGCAAGACCCTTGCACACCATCCACCAAAGGGCAACAAGAAGGGGCACAATGGGAGACAAAGGGAAACAAGACCCTCGCACACCATCCACTAAAGGGCAACAAGAAGGGGCACAATGGGAGACAAAGGGAGGCAAGACCCTCGCACACCATCCACCAAAGGGCAACAAGAAGGGGCACAATGGAAGACAAAGGGAACAAGACCCTCGCACACCATCCACCAAAGGGCAACAAGAAGGGGCACAATGGAAGACAAAGGGAGACAAGACCCTCGCACACCATCCACCAAAGGGCAACAAGAAGGGGTACAATGGGAGACAAAGGGAAACAAGACCCTCGCACACCATCCACCAAAGCGCAACAAGAAGGGGCACAATGGAAGACAAAGGGAAACAAGACCCTCGCACACCATCCACCAAAGAGCAACAAGAAGGGGCACAATGGAAGACAAAGGGAAACAAGACCCTCGCACACCATCCACCAAAGGGCAACAAGAAGGGGCACAATGGAAGACAAAGGGAAACAAGACCCTCGCACACCATCCACCAAAGAGCAACAAGAAGGGGCACAATGGAAGACAAAGGGAGACAAGACCCTCGCACCCCATCCACCAAAGCGCAACAAAAAGGGGTACAATGGCAGACTAAGGGAGACAAGACCCTCGCACACCATCCACCAAAGCGCAACAAAAAGGGGCACAATGGGAGACAAAGGGAAACAAGACCCTCGCACACCATCCACCAAAGCGCAACAAAAAGGGGCACAATGGAAGACAAAGGGAAACAAGACCCTCGCACACCATCCACCAAAGAGCAACAAGAAGGGGCACAATGGAAGACAAAGGGAAACAAGACCCTCGCACACCATCCACCAAAGGGCAACAAGAAGGGGCACAATGGAAGACAAAGGGAAACAAGACCCTCGCACACCATCCACCAAAGAGCAACAAGAAGGGGCACAATGGAAGACAAAGGGAGACAAGACCCTCGCACACCATCCACCAAGAGCAAACAAGAAGGGGCATGTGGGAGGACAAGGGAGACAAGACCCTCCACACCATCCACCAAAAGCGCAACAAAAAGGGCACAATGAGAAAGGGACAAGGGAGACAAGACCCCTCGCCACACCATCCACCAAAGCAGCAACAAAAAGGTGCAATGGAAGACAAAGGGAGACAAGACCGCGCACAACATCCAACAAAGCGCAACAAAAGGGAAAATGGAGACAAAGGGAAACAAGACCCACCACCCCCACACACCCCCCCCAAAAAAAAAACTACATTACCACCCAACGCCTACCCACACCAACTTCCCACAACACAAACCCTACCCCACACAACCCCCCCCCCCCCCCCCAATCGCACACCACAACCAAGAGCAACAAGAAGGGGCACAATGGAAGACAAAGGGAAACAAGACCCTCGCACACCATCCACCAAAGGGCAACAAGAAGGGGCACAATGGAAGACAAAGGGAAACAAGACCCTCGCACACCATCCACCAAAGGGCAACAAAAAGGGTTACAATGGGAGACAAAGGGAAACAAGACCCTCGCACACCATCCACCAAAGAGCAACAAGAAGGGGCACAATGGAAGACAAAGGGAGACAAGACCCTCGCACACCATCCACCAAAGCGCAACAAAAAGGGGTACAATGGCAGACTAAAGGAGACAAGACCCTCGCACACCATCCACCAAAGGGCAACAAAAAGGGGCACAATGGGAGACAAAGGGAAACAAGACCCTCGCACACCATCCACCAAAGAGCAACAAGAAGGGGCACAATGGGAGACAAAGGGAAACAAGACCCTCGCACACCATCCACCAAAGGGCAACAAGAAGGGGCACAATGGAAGACAAAGGGAAACAAGACCCTCGCACACCATCCACCAAAGGGCAACAAAAAGGGGTACAATGGGAGACAAAGGGAGGCAAGACCCTTGCACACCATCCACCAAAGGGCAACAAGAAGGGGCACAATGGGAGACAAAGGGAAACAAGACCCTCGCACACCATCCACTAAAGGGCAACAAGAAGGGGCACAATGGGAGACAAAGGGAGGCAAGACCCTCGCACACCATCCACCAAAGGGCAACAAGAAGGGGCACAATGGAAGACAAAGGGAACAAGACCCTCGCACACCATCCACCAAAGGGCAACAAGAAGGGGCACAATGGAAGACAAAGGGAGACAAGACCCTCGCACACCATCCACCAAAGGGCAACAGAAGGGG